ATAAAATATTTTATCGAAAAAATTTTTGTGTATACGATATTATGTAATTTAATTGTTATTTCTAAAATATTTTACTTACTTAAATTAATATTATAATTTTTATTTTATTTTATTTACAATTAAAAATATAAATAAAAATATAAAAATATTATTATATTTAAGAAGTAGTTATATATTTTATATATTTATAACAGATCTATTAAAATATACTATATACAATTATGAGATAAAACAAATATTGCGATAATTGATATTAGTTATAAAGAATATAAGATAATATTAGTTATAAAGAATATAATTTATATGCCGAAATGAAACAAGAAATTATATGAAAAATGAAACAAGAAAACGAAATTATCTGTTACGATGTAAAAGCGAAATATCAAGCATCGTTGCATCGATTCAGAACATTCCATTTAATTTATGTATATCTAACTTTTCCAAGTTCAAGTTTTTTCGGTTTCGATATATAATATTTTCAATCAAGAGTTCGTTAACTAACGGCGCGAATAATTATTATGTGTTCCGTGATTTATTTTCTCTTTTTCTTTTATAAACATTAATAATGGCATTAATCGTAGTGTCTTAAATACTCTGATTTCAATAACAATATTTATTTTTTCTTTTTTTATATATTTATTTAAGGAGTACATTTCTACGTTCTATACGTAATTCTAATAATAATTAATAAAAGATAAGTAAATCGAACATAATCTTATCATTACTCGACTGGATTTTAATTATTCACTTATCTCCTATTATTATTGTTGTTGTTATTACTATTACTATAATTATTACTATTACTATTACTTACTATTACTTATTACTATTACTATTATTACTATTACTACTACTACTACTACTACTATTATTATCATTATTATCATTATCATTATCATTATCATTATCATTATCATTATTATCATTATTATTATTATTATTATTATTATTATTATTATTATTATTATTACTATTATTTTTACTATTATTATTATTATATACATATGGATTCGTAATATGGTAACGGTGTGTACGCGCTGGACTCAACCATTCCTCATTCATCAGTTATTAATTATTAATTACATTAATAATTTCTTTATTTATTTTCTCATTCTATATCCGAATGTATCATGTGAATCAGTAGTATATATGTACTTATAACCGATTTCCGCATGTTTGGATTATAATCTTTATATTGTATGTATATGGCATCTATATCTGTACTTTATTATGTCGCGTCTATTTATATATGTATTGCCATAATTACGGCAATTGCTTGTTGTATTTTTTAATGTAATGTTATGTCAGACAAATATGTCAGACTAACGAAGAAACATAAATAATACGGATAATTCAATATTTTAAATGTTTTTAACTTTTCGTTCATATACAGACGAAAATAATTTATGTAAAATGTGTAACAATATTATTTTCTTTAAGTAAATAAATTCGAAATTATTGTTCTTATATTTTTATATTATATGATATTCTTATAAAGTCAATTAATAATTTTGTGAATTAATTATTTTTTTTTTATATTTAAATATTTGTAATTTTGATTAAAAATGAAAAAATTCATTTTGATTAATTCAATTTTAATCATTTTGTTTCTTTTTTTTTTATTTTCTTTTTGAAAGCAATTTAATTTTTTTTGACAAATTTTACAAGAAATATGGAAATGATTAGAAGCTTATGGAAGCAACAACAATTCAAAAATGGTTTTATTTAAGTCAATTTTTTACATATTGTTCCTTTGTGCACTATATGCTTAATTTGAGAACAGTTTTATGAAGATAATGCAATATTTAATTTTTACATAATTTCACTAGAAGTTGAAATTGAATTAAAGAATTTTGAATTAAAGAATTTTGAATTGAAATAAGTCTTCCTTTTAAAAAATTTGTAACAAAGATGAAAGCAATTTGCGGTACATTTTATTCAATTCATTTTTTTTTTTTTAATTACAAATATTTTATAATTTTCAACTTTCTATTAGAACAACAACTTTAAAATATATTTATATATTTAAAATTATACATATATACATCATAAAGATTTTCTAACATGTATAATTACGTTATTATTAACTTTTTTAAAAAGTATAAAAAAATGAAAAAATGTTTATATACATATATATATATATATTCTGGCTTTTTTTTGGTATATGCGTTCAGTATAAATGTTATCATTAGTATGCATAATTTTTTCTAGATTTCATTGCATTTTTCATCGTTTTACAATTCTTTTTGTTTTATTTTCTATGAATATTCACTAAATATCCTTTTTGATTTTGGATGTGACCTCGAATGCATTAATTAAAAAATCGTAAAAATTAAGGATTTCCATTAAGTGCATGATAAAAATAAATTATATATTAAAAAAAAATAAAATAATAATAGATTTTGATTGCATAAACATTAAAAATGTAAGTATAAAAGTGTAAAAATAACCTGAATAATTATATTAATAATTAGTTTGAAAAATTAAAATACATATTAGACTAAAGAAAAAAACATTTCAAATAGAGAATTTTTTAATTCTATAAGATATATTTTAAATAGAGAGACAACAGCTTTTGAAGATCAATTCTGGACATCAAAAACGTAAAAATTGATATAAAAATTTCGGTTAAGGTTTATTAAAAATTTAAATATATATTATAAGCAAATATAAATTATAAGCATTTAAAATTTTTATTAATAAGGAAAAGCAAAAATAACAATATGACAGACATAGCTATCTGTTTTTCATTTTGTCTAAATTAAATTTCGATTGCTTATAATTTAATAAATAAATTTTAATTGATACATTTGAATACTTTTGAATTTTATTCTTCTCTAGAATTTATTCTCTAAAGCTAATATATTAATGTTCTGTTAACACATATTTCTCACAATTTTAAGCAAAGAAAAATTTTCTGTTTCAAGAAAAAAAAATTAAATAACTTTTATTTATTATTCTGAAAAAAAGTTATCTTTTTTATCTAAACGATTATCTATTCCGATTAATTGATATCAAACATAAGAATATTGCATTGAAAAATTAATAATTCAACAATTCAGTGATATATTGACAGAATAATATTAGCTTTGGGAGAATTAATAGCTATTAAACAAATCAATAATTATAACCAATAATATTAACTATCTAAAGATCCAACTTATGTTTATATTATTTTATATTTGTATCTGTTAGTTTTATGATCATCAATATCTATATGCTGATAATAATTTCTCATATCTATATGCTGATAATAATTCTCAGTTAGAGGCAAATAGAAACAGCTCAAGACAAAAATAAGCTGTTATGTTTTAATAACGAACATATCCTCAGATTTCTCTAATAACTTTGAAAATTTTCTATTTTTCAGTTTTGTTCATTAGCTTCTTCTTTAATATTATTTATAATGCATAAATGTAATCATATGTAGATAAATATAATTAAAGTGATAAAAGTGATAAAAGTAAATAATAGATAATAAATAAATAATAAGAAAAATTAATATTTTTGTTGAATGTATCTAATAAAGTATTGAAAATAATATAATAAAAATACTGAAATCTATTGTTTTAACAAGTTTGAAAATTTTGGTATTAAAAATTTATAATCAATATATTAGATCAAATTTAAACATTTTAAACACAATGCATTATTTCTAATAGTTAATTAGAACTTTTAATATAATATATAATTAAATTATCAATTCACTTTTAAAATATAAACTAGATTTATCTAATTAGATTAAAGTTTTTATTCTAGATATTGGATATTGAATGCGACTTCTTAAGTTAATATCAAGAAAAATATATCTCATAAATTCTAAAAGTTCTTTAATATTGAAATTA